CCTTTTATTGAGTGACGGATGTATTCCTTGACCCTTCACTTATCTAATTTATTTCTCAAGAAGTCCATTCTCATTTTACAGGGAGGAACCTGAAGCTCAGAGATTAAATAACTTGCCCAAAGTCTTGTAGCTGTTAAGCAAACAATATTTGAATCCTGATGTATATAGCTCCCGTTTGTTTTTTTCTCTTTCTGAAACACTTTTTAAATAGGACAAATTCAAAGTCGGATAATGTTATCACTTCATATACCCTGTTTATTTTTGTAATTATTGAAGACATCTCAGCTTCCTCCTTATTGGAATTTGCCTCCAAGCTTTGGTTTGTGCTTCTTTCGTCCTGCACCACCAGCTGAGTTTCCAGCTTTCTTTGGAATAGAGAACTATCCAAAGTTCACATCTAACTTAAATACCACTGAAGTGAATAGAAATTTTTCTCAAAAAAAAAAGAAAAAAATAGGGGCGTCTGGGTGGCTCAGTCAGTTAAGCGCCAGGCTCAGCTCAGGTCATGATCTCATGGTTCGTGGGTTCCAGCCCCATATTGGGCTCTGTGCTGACAGGTCAGAGCCTGGAGCCTGCTTCGGATTCTGTGTCTCCCCCCCTCTCTCTGCCCCTCACTCACTCGTGCTCTGTCTCTGTCTTTGTCTGTCTCTTTCAAAAACAAATAAACATTAAAAAAAGATTAAAATAATAACAAAAATAAAACAACAACAACAAAATAACCTGTATGATGAACTTCATAGAGAGCCAAAGTGGTTGACAGAGTCACTTCTTAAACTCCTTGCACAACTCCCTGCTGTCAACATAGGAGTTCTCCATGTGTGCTTTGAAATATAGGCTGACTTCTTCTAGTTTACTGGTGGATTGCTTCCTTCTTCTGTGTAGACTGTATTTCTAGGAAATCTGATTTTAATGTAAGCTTACTTATCTTATAATTAGGAAGATAAATCTCCTCAACTTCTGGGGAGGCATTCTCCTAGATTCTAAGAAAGTACCCATGATCTCAAGATATCTTATAGAAAAACACATTTCTAGTGGGTAAACATGACCAATTATTGAGCATATGGCAGCATATCAGAGTAGAATTCCAAAAATCTCAAGATTTACCCATTTGTTTTTTATTCATACTTTTAGATTTATATAATCCAATATTACTGAAATGTTGTAGACTTCTGGCAGATGGTTACCAGAGTGAAAGTGTGAGTAGTACAATTTGCTTTAAGGGAGCAAGATTCTAAGAGAATCTTTTTACCATGTCTACTTAATCCCATGACCACTACTTGAAATAAAGTTTTGGGGGGCAATTTTGAGTATTACTCTTGATTTCTTGAAATTGAAATGTGTTTACTAATCCTAATAGGAAAAAAATGCTAAAGTATCTACTTGCAGAAGAGAAGTTGAAAGTGGAAATATCTGACTCAAGGGTAAACAGAATGTGCAGTAGCTAGTACTTAAGGAAACTCTTCTTGTCATATGAAGCCAATAAACCAAAATGGTTTTCTTTCCTTGGTGTAAACTTGTACTTAAGCTGGGTTGGATGTGATCTTTTGGGTTTTAATGGGCATGACTGGGTTTATCCTACAGGGGTTTAAGGAGATGGGTGGCTTTTCTTTCTAGGCTAAGGCAAACAGAGAAACCAACACCATTTGAGGGCTGCCAAACCATCTGAGGGCTTGTTTAAGTGCCAGGAAAAGTGCCATTCAAATATTGGAACAAGAGAAGGTCGGAGTTTCTTTAGGGATACGTGCAATCAAAATAAAAGCAATAAAGTCTTACAGTCTGGATATTCTTACTGGAAATTGGCTTTGAAAAAAAAAAAAAACAAATCCTGTCTGCTACTGTTTATCTAAGGGTATTTAAGTATTTTGGGTATTTTGAGGTCTGTTTGTGGTTATCAAGCGTCTTTTGTTTTCTACATAGAAAGTCTGACTATCTCCATCAAAATAATTTGTGAATATGTATTTTTAAATATATACATTTCCTGCAGTACTCAAGTCCTTAACAGTGGTCGTTATCACTCTGTCATTTCAGGTGAGCAAACGTAAGTTATATTACTTTGTTCAGGATTATTCATCTAGTGAGTGTTAGAGCCAGGACTGTAATCAAAGTGAGAGTACTCTTGGTTACACCATACAGTATCCTTATGCAGTGAGTATTCACTGAGTACCAGTGTTCTGTGTAGTGTATTGGAGAAAACACTGTGTAAAGAGTTTCATCGTTTTCTAAGTGTAATTTTGCTAGTCTTTTTATGGTCAAATATGAAATTTTATAAATCCATTTAAAAAGTAAACTGAATCATTTTAAAGCAGGAGTTATTTCTTTTAAATCTTTTATGATATCAAAAGTAATTATTTATTTAGCTGCTGTAAATTCATATATTCCTGAATTGTTCTGAAGTGGAGCACCCATGTAAAATACAATTGTTCTTTAAGGAATTCACCAAAGATAGTAAACTTAGGAGAATCATCTCCATTTTTGATCAGTTTTATTTTCAAGGTCATTTGAGATTCACAGGTACACATTGGCTAATCAGAATGCAGAGTCCTTCAGTAAGTGTTTGGTAAGTAAGTATTAGTGATCTGGTGGGTTTATTCAGTAGCAGGTGTATTTCCCAGAATTTAATTGCTTTAACTGTATTTAAAATCAGTTCACTTGCCTTTCTAAGTGGAGCTTTGCTCCTTTGTTTCTGTGACTATATGTGCACAGTTGCTGTAGAGCAACTTTTGATTCTTTCACTCTGGTGAAGTTAGCAAAACTACCATCGCTTTAGGACTAAAGAAAAAGAAACAGGTGAAATACCATACAGGAATTTTGAAGATAAATCAGTGGTTAACACAAAACCAATAATATATTCAAAACCCTTTCTTGTCCATACTGGTAAAATAAGTTACATCTGTTGGCCTAAAATACTATGTGTGTGTGCCTGTGTGTGCTCATACACACATACACAAATGATTGAAATGGCTTTAAATGCTACTGAGTAGTCTAGTTGTCTAAATTATTAGTAACCTATCTATCACACTGTGATTATTGTTTAGAGCAGTGCTGTCCAATAGAACTTGTCTGATGGTGGAAATGTTCTATATTCCACACTGTCCAAAATGGTAGGCATCAACCCCATATGGCTATTTAGCCCTGAAAATGTGGCTTGTGAGACTGAGGAACTGAATATTCAAGTTTTAATTTTAGTTAATTTGAAGAAATTGCTACATGTGAGTAATGGCTACCATTTATATTGTGGGGAAAAACAAATTGTGACCCTGGTGGATGGAATAATAATGATGAATCAATAGAACATACAAATTTGGTCTAGTTTAAGGCAATCTTTTCTAACATCTGTTCCAATATTGGATGTTGTGGATGTACATCATATGGGGTTTTGAAGGGTCTTACTCGTGGTCACTTGGTAGGACTGCAAGGACAGAAAGAACCCAAGCGCCAGTTTGTTGGGAACTCAGATGAAGTGACCTCTAGGTTGAGCTCATTTTGAGATTAAGGGATGCTTCTTGAGAAGAAAGGAAGCTCAGTTTCAGGGATTTGCGTTGGTATCTAGATCTGCCTTTTCTGAAAATAGATAAAGTCTGAGTTGTCACTTTTCTAGAGCAACTTTTTTTGTTATTGCCAACACAGAAAACTTTGGCTTCAGAGTACCAATCCACAAAGCTGATGCCTGCAAACCCAGAAAGCTTGTGAGATTGTGTTTGTGGGGTTTTTATCCTTTATGGTAACTTGAGTCAGATACTTCCTTATGGAAAGCTTTATGTGACAGTTCTACCAGGATGAGTCAATACTACCCTGTTTCCGCCCTGCCACCCCTCCCTCTCCCCCCACCCATGTTTTCACTATTCCTCTCACCCTCAATCTTTTGCTCTGTCAAATGGAAATTCCTGACTCAGCCATTTTCACTTTTCCAATAAGTTACCCAGTTACTCTGTGGTCTCTGATAATGATGTAGATGGTTTGTGATATTAAAGTAGTACTTCTGATTTGGTGACTTACATTATCTCAGCATTTTCAGAACCCACTTGCCTGCAATCTAGTGTGTCTGTGGTTAGCTATAATATACCTACTTGCCAAACTAGTGGTTTGGGTTACTGGGCTTTTCATTTAACTTCGAATTTGGGGGATTAGAAAAAAAAAATAACTCAGGAACCTATTTTAATAAATTGCATCAGAGTGAAATGTTGGAATTATATTAATTGTTTTGTTTTTTAAAATGTCTCCTTACTGTGCTCAGTCTTGTGCTTTTGTTGAAGATGTGTGTGCGTGTAGGCACACGTTTAAAACTCATACTTGAACTATTGATGATGTCCATTATGTAACTTAGTGCTTCCTATGTAAGTTCCAGCATGACAACAGTTTAGTTGCATATTTGCTGCTAGTAAAACATTTCTATCCAGTGACGAACTGGTGTTATTTCTTTTTTTAGGTCATGAAAACTGAGCAACTTTTCATATTTCCCTGCTTGCTTTGGTTCTCAGGAAGATCAGATACAAATTTGGGGACTTATATAGACTTTATTTTTGCTAGCATACTTTTTCCCTTAATAACAATAACAAAAAACTTTCATTCTCAAATGACTCAGGACACTAACTCCAAGATTCTGAAAATTCCTATCGGCACCTTAGCATACATTGCATTCTCTGCTTCAAAATGCCACATTCATCTTATGCATCCTGCTGGGTTATTTAGCTTAACACGTATAACCTCATCTATATTGTCATTTTTCATAGCCTTGGGGTCTCATCTTGGAAGTACCACTTCATTGACTATGTGATCCTTGGCATTGTTATTCCAACTCTCCAAGCCATCATTTCTTCAGAAATTGAGTGATAATGTTTAATTGTGGTGTAAAGCGACCAACAGTTGACCACCTGCCTGAATGGACCGCCTTTATAGATATTCTAGGATTCTTTCAGCTTCTATCCATTACTATACATATATTATAATATATCCAAAATTTGGGGGGTGGAAGCAGAAACCCTTTACTGTCATTTTAGGTAATGTCGGTAGACATGCAGCTCCTTAGCCTTTTTCAGGTGTGCTGGAAGGTGAGGATGGCTCACACCTGCAAAAAATGCAATTTTTCACGGTATGTCATTTGTATTAATCACCATTTTTCTTAGGAGCCCTCATTTCCACATTTATTTGAAAATCATTATCTCAGGCCCTGGGATAAATGTTGGAGAGAAAATGATCCATAATATTTTTCCTGCCTTTCAAGGATCTTGAATGTATGCTGGGGAAACAGATGGGTAAATTAATTATAATATGATTAGTGCTACCGTAGTATATTTACTATATGCTGTGAAATCACTGGGGGAAATATAGCATAGGTAAATCTGCTGGGTGTGTGAGAGTCCATTGTGACGGTTTTGGTTTTATTCTATAAGATTGGATTAGTAGAGAAATGACATTAGAATGAGGGTTTGAAGACTGATTATGATTTTTTTAGATAGTGGAGAGGTGCCTCAGATAGATAGAACAGGTTTGTGCCCTGCCCCCGGTGTGTGTAATTGTGACTGAGCTTCCTTCAACTTGCAGGATGCTCCCATTCTCTGTGTCCCATACCCACACCAACCAACTAAAACATAAACAAAACCCAGTAACCATAAAAATCCCCAAATAGTTGAAACATTGGTTAATGATACTTGACTCAATCACTTGTACAAAGTGTGGATGAAAGTGTTTGTCTTTCAAAAAGGAATTGTAGAAGCCTGTGTGCATTTTTCAGGTAGTTTAGTAAGGGGGGGTGGTAATAATTCTACTAAAGATAAATATTCCAGAAACGTGGATCTGATTTAATGATATTATGCGTCTCTTATCAGAAGGATCCTCTATCTTCCAGACAGATGGAATAACCATAGTATATGGGATAGAACAGGGGATTTGGAGACTTGATCAGAATAATAGCCCTGCCATTGACTACTTCGACTAGGAACAAAGTAAATGAGGATGGAAGGCCTGTGTCATTTACTAGTGTTTTGTCAGCCCAAATTAGGTGCCACTCTCCTCCTTCTGTCATACTGTACTTGGATTTTGTTAATTTCAACAGGATGGACATCTAGGACATTAAAAGTCAGAGAAGGAGCAAAAGTTTCAGTTACCCTTTATTCCCTAGTAAATTAATTGTTCAGACATTACTGAGATCTTATTCCCATCATTTCAATTTCCTGCCTGAATGGGAAGTTTCAGTTGTCAGAGTGGTCAGTGATTCAAAGCTATGTATGCTATTTTAGGACTCATAATTGTGGCAGATGGTTACGAGAGTGTCCATAGTCTATAACTGAGCATACCTAAGAAGCTCCCGAGCTGACGGTGGTAGTAATGGGGGGGTGAGGGTTGGTTTTGGTGTTGTTCTTAGTGATGGTGATATTGATATCCTCTTGGTCCCTATATAGGTAAAATTTGTTGGGGATGAAAATGTCAAGGACTTGGCATTAGGATGATAGCTGTTCATAGTTTTTCCTGCATTGTGTTCTCTTTTACTCAGGCAGTTTTATTAGAGCTTTAAATAAAGAAAAGAGACCCTTCTTTAATAAATTAGGGAGACATTCCTTTTGAGGGGCAACAAACAAAGGCATAGGGGTTTACACATGTTATTTCTTTGTACAAATTGTCTTTAACATCTCTTGGACACATTATTCTGAAATTTATTAATACTCTCTTTGCAAATGGAGAAAATCTCATTGATACTGGATGGAGAGTAGGGGAGATGGGGCAAGCTGGTTAGATCCCAAAGGGAAATTTTCCTTGGAATTTTCCACCGTTGTCACACACAGCTTAGGGTTTTTCTTGCACATCACCCAGGAAACACTGTGAAATGAAAAGAACTTTTTATTGCCCTTGTTTTTTAGAATTGAATACAGGCTGACTGTGATTGCCAGAGACTTATTCTTGGGAGACAGTGAGACAAAATAAACAATATCCCCCATTTTATTGCTCTATTTTGGGCCCTGGAACCCACCTTCTGAGCACATGTGCCATCCTTACCTAAATTCTGTTGTATCCACAGTTTCAAACAACCTAATGCATATTTATTTTATTTTATTTACTATTTAATAGTATCAACTCTTTTCTTACATAGTGAAATATAGACTCATTACTTCTTCCAGGCTTGGTTTCCAATTCATTTGTTCATTTGTTGGGCAATCTTGGTCAAGTCACTTTATTTCTCTGAGCCTTAGTTTTTTCATAAATAAAATGAGAATATTGGTAAAACCTTTACCTTCAGGTAATTAGGAGGAATGTATATGAAAGTGCATTGTAATCAATAAAGTGCTATATCAATGTCAACTGTGGCTGCCTGTCATTACCAAACTTTTCAACATAGAATATGTGTCTGGAACATCATCCTCATTCATAGAGGCTGTTTTCATGTGTACAGAACAAAGGAAAACAAGTATCATCCCTGTTCTCAAATCAATGAGTATGTATTCCATCTGTTGCTAATAGCATTCACACAAAAATAGGATAATTCACAAATTATACCAGGACATAAAAGGCAGTACAGACACAGTTGAAAGAAATAGTTGCTAGTGAATGTATTATTAATCCAGGCATTTGTATGTGGGTGGAAGCTTGTAAAGACTGAGTCATAGGAATTGTATTTTCAGAAAGTTTGGGGTGTGAGTACAAGAAGGACAGAAGGGGAATGACTTCTTCACTCTTCTGGTTTGTGAGAGTCACTTGCCTCCCCATCTAGAATGCCTACTCCCTCTGCCCATAGGAATTTTAACCTTCTTTTGAAATTCATTCTGTATGTTAGCTACTTTAAGGTTTCTTGATATCTCTGAGTCACTGCTATTACTTACAACTACCTCCAGTTCATAGCAAGCACATTTCCTCCATTATTTATGCCTTCAAAGAGTTTTCTGTAGCTCTTTATAGCATTTATCAAATTATATTATGTTTATGTACCTTTCTGGCATCTCTACTTTCGTGATGGCTTGGAAATGACTTATTTATCGCAAGAGAGCTCAGCAAATGTTTGTTGAATGAATGCGTTTACTAGGTACAAACTATGTCATTTGTGTATTTAGGGGGATCCACAAATGAATGAAAATCATCTTTTTCTTCAAGGAAAATGGATGGGGGGAGGATATGTGTGTGTGTGTGTGTGTGTGTGTGTGTGTGTGTGTGTACACACACACATATATATTTTTCAAATATATATCCTGTTTCCTATTTCTGAAATTTGCTTGGTTTAATGTAAACTAAATCATTGTATACTTATATGTATATATATGGATTAAAAAACACTAAAACAATTTCATTTAGTGGGAATGGAGAAGGTTTCTAGTTTTTATTTAAATGATATCTGAAAGTTTTACAAGTCTCTGTAATTCTGTTGTAAAAACAGAGCTTAATTCTATTTATAAAATTGTTTTCTTCTTTTGGCTATGGAACTTTCACTGTTTTTTGACTTTATTGACCAGTGTTTCTTCATTTCTTTTTCAATTAATGAATATCTATTGAAGTCTCATTACATGCTACATCCAGTGCATATAGAATTGTGTGGAAGGTACAGAGATTAGTCCCACAAGGTCCCTGCCCTGAAGAGTTTGCAACTGGTCACGGAGACAGCTGTCTATTTGCGTTGAAGGATAAAATGTGTTTCTTTCTGTTGATGCTCTTCAAAAGCAAGGAGGTGGAGTTGCATGATTAGTTTTCAAAACAGACTTAGCTACCATGCCTTAATTTTGGGGAAAATGTTTGGGGTCAGAGAGAGGAGGCTTACAGGACCATTGAAGTTTGGATGGGAATGGAGAGGAATGATGGAATGGCTCTAATGGCAAGATCGGCTTGAAATTTGAGTGAGTGAAAGTGAACATGGGAGGGAAGAAGTCTGAGAAGTGGGAGGGTAGGCATTCAGGGTCCAATGATACAGCTTAAGTGTGCCTGCAGGGAAAGGTGGTGAGATGAATTGATGCTGTTTATCCTCCTATACTGCTTATTATACTGTTTACTTCAAAGTAGAGTAGATTAGGGAAGGAGAAAAGATCCAGGCTCTGAATTTGGCCTGGCTGTGAAATGTTTTTTGTAATTCCCAGTCTGGTTACTGATTTACAAAGGTGGCTGGATGTGTGGTTGTTTTCCAGCTTGTGTTAAGAGTCATGATGCAGAGTGTACAGAGGCACATCTAGAAAGGAACTAGAGTGGATGCAGAAGAAACTGGAGTGAATACATAATACTTGGCATAAATGAGATCATGCATTTGGAAGTTCTCAGTAAACTCTGAAATGCTAACTCGGTGTATTGACAATACAATTCTGTGTATGAGTGTGTGCACTTCCTTTAGTCATTGAAGATCTTCTAGATTCTCTTCTCACTCAAACCCTAACCCATATGCGCTGTAAGAAGATTTAGGATCAAATAACAATGATACTTCATTCTTGCTGGTTAAATACTAAGAAGTCACTGAGAAGAGTCATTGTTATGGTAACCAGTAATTCATAAACTCCTTGCACCTGCTGTGATATGGCAACTATGTCTTTATGTTTATGGTTTAGCAGCATATGCTATTGATGGAATTAAAGATGTGGATTTAAAAAGAAAAAGTTTGTGTTGTAGAATTTTAAAATGCAGTGTGTAAAAAATTACAAAAAACAAAAGAAATACAGAAAACCCAGGGTGCCTGGGTGGCTCAGTCAGTTGAGTGTCTGACTTTGGCTCAGGTCATGATCTCACAGCTCCTGATTTGGAGCCCTGCATTGGGCTCTGTGCTGACAGCTCAGAGCCTGGAGCCTGCTTCGGATTCTGTGTCTCCCTCTCTCTGCTCCTCTCCTGCTCATGCTCTGTCTCTTTCTGTCTCAAAAATAAATAAACATTAAAAAAATGTAAAAAAAAAAAAAGAAATACGTAAACCCATGATCCTGCCACCCAAATTTAGTAGATGTTAATATTTGCCTTATTTGCTTTAGTCTTCTCTGTTTTGTTTGTAAATCAATAGAACATCTGATATAGCAAAGGCACTCCTGCTCTTTGACTCTCTTTGTAGATGAGCACGATTCAATTCTAAATTCAGTTTGTGTCAGTGCTGTATATTAAAAACATATTTTTATTACAGGTGTATGCATCCATAAACATTATGTTTTAATGTTGCACTGACTAAAACAAAAATATAAAATTATTGCAGTTCTTCACATGATTATCCACATGGAAACCTGCAATAATTTTATAATCTTTTATTCAGTATGACCTTAAACATGTATAAAATATATTGTTTGGCATAACTTTCTGCCTTGGTAACATAAATTGAAGTGGCTTTTAAGTTTTTTTGACCATAATCTGCAGGATGTTGTATGTTTTACAGTGTGACCTAATACATATATACAGCTGTGTGTGTGTGTGTGTGTGTGTGTGTGTGTGTACACGTATGTTTGAGTTTTATGTGAGTAAAACTGAAAAAGTTTCTCCATTCCATGGTTTCCTCGACTGTGTGTTTTACTCTGTTTTCTAGCCTATTCATTTCTAGACTTAGTAAATTGATTTTATGACCTAATAATAGGTTGCCATCCATGATATAACAAATATTAATCTCAACAATTAATCTAATCTTATCTAAAGTTAATACGGGACATTAGTATACAGACATAAGCCTTTGCAGTATAATAAAAGTGCTTCAAATAATAAAGCAACCTAATAAAATAGCATTCTTCTGCACAAGATTTGATTACATTCATTTTGTCTAATTCATTCTGAATGTTTCTGTTAATTAAATCCATACATATCTTAGCCATTTGATCAATTAATATTAATTCACTAGGCATGTTAGGGAGTGCATGTTAGTCAGTATAGAATATCTCCTTTCAGTCTGTTGTGACCTCTTGGTTTGCCTGGAATCCCGGAGGGCTGTCATGGTGTCAGGAAAGGAAAGAGCTCTTGCTGGCTCAGATACTGACTTATAACTTGTCACCAACAAACTGTATATAGCCTTGATAACTCTTTTCTTCCGTCTGGCCCTCATTTTCCTCACCTATTAATCAAATGAGTTAATTAGCTCATCTTGAAAGCACTTTCATTCTGTGAAACATAGGGTAGCTAGGACCTGGGCCACAAAGTTGTTAGAATTTGCTGAGAATATATCAGATGTAAAAGAACAGGACTTTCTCCTGGAATTACAAGTTTTGCAGTTGCAGGAAGTAAGCAGGCCATATGTTGTTTAAATGGTTCTTGGGCAGAAATGATTCCCCAATTGTAAAACCATTTCAGAGTAAGCTTAATGTCTCTAAGATCTACCTACTTTTTTATTGTTATTTCTCAGGGACAGGGCTGGCTATGTCAATGTATATGTATGTGAGCATATATAAGTGCTAAGAATGGCAAAGGATTGTTTCTTTATTCCACTTCAGTTAAATGTCTTCATAGGCAAATTCAAAGCTGCAGAAAGAAATCTATAAACTCTGGTAACTTTACGGGACAGTTTCATGAGTCCTACATGTTGTAGTAGTTTGTGGCTTTAGGGAATTTTCCTTTTTCATATGAGTTACATGTTTGAAATAGAGTAAGAACATATCACCTAAATTACATGTCCTTCATACAAACAAAAGGCACGTTTCATGATAAGAGTTCTTTATAAGTATTGTTTTGTGTATGTTTGTTTTAAGAAACAGGAGTTTAAATTGCAGTTTGGGGTGGACCTTGGAGACCATCTCTTCCCATTTGCTCCTAAAAAGATAGGCCAGAGAATGTTCTTGCCTGAATCTCCAAATCGAGGTGACAGTAGGGGCAGGTTCCTGTATCCTCTAAGCTTCCCATATCCTTTTGGTATGCAGATTCTTTTTAGGAAGCTCTACATTTACCGAGACCTAGGGGAGCTAGTTCTAACTCCTGTCTGAGGGTGTGGTCCCATTAAAGAAATAGAAATCTATTTCTATAGAAATTCTATAGAAATTTCTATAGAAATTCTATTTCCTGAAATAGAAATCTGTTCCTACCCGAGGGACTAATAAAGGTGTGTTTTTCCTTAGGGGCAGCAGGATAGATGTAAGTCTCTGGGAGAGGATTCCCTCAACCCTAGATGGTTCAGGCAAAGGCTAGATTTCTTTTAACTCCTCTGACTATGCAAGAACTCAGCTTTCTCTTAGCTAACAGTATGCAGAAAGTTCTTGTCTCTTGTATTATGGCCACAATACTTGCCCTCTCTTTTTAGATGTGGATTAGAATTTCTGGACCTATGGGGCACCTGGGTGGCTCAGTTGTTTGAATGTCTGACTTTGGCTCAGGTCATGATCTTGTGGTTCGTGAGTTCGAGCCCCACCTTGGGCTTGATGCGTCAGCCTGTCAGCACAGAGCCTGTTTTGAACCCTCTGCCTCCCCTCCCCCGCTTGCACTCTCCCATAAATAAAAAAAAAAAAAAAAAAAAAAAAAAAAAAAAAAAAAAAAAAAAGAACTTCTGGACTTATGGGTTCTGATTCTGTGGTTAATATCCTTAGGCCAGAGAACAGAGCTAACCATTACTTTGTGATACCCTGTGCTTGGCACTGAGCAGGTACTGTGGATGTTTGTGAATGAAGACTTTGTATTTACTAGTCACTATTTTGCACTGCATGTTATAAAGCTGATAATCCTAAAATAGTAGAATTGATTTTTGAAGTAAACAAATTCTTTTTTTTAACATATTAAAATACTACCATTGAACCTTCTTGTCTGCTTTTCCTGCTTCATCCTCTGCAGTGTGCCGAGATTTTGCTGTCTTAGAGGACCACACCCTGGCCCACAGCCTGCAAGAACAAGAGAGTGAGTAATGGCCCTCATTATGTTCCTTCTGTTTTCTTTTTTAGTAGTACTTGAGGCAGGTTTCTTTGGGTGAGGCAGGGAGAGAGAACAGAGTCACCAGGCCTACTTTCCATCAGTCCTGAGGGATTTATCTAGGCAAGTGCCACCTGGGTGGAAAATGAAGTTCTGGGTATTTTAAGATGTGACAGCTGCGAGGGATTAGGAGACTTTGGGTATATGGGAGGAAAAGCGGCGCGTGAACCTTTCCCTTGCCTTAGTATTGTTAGGAGGGAGATACTATCTGGCATCTGTTCTTCCCCTGGAAGAGGGGCCTGAGCATCTTTGCAGACATTGGAAGTATCTAGGTTGTGGCCTTTTCTCAATATTTATGTAGGTAATTATGGAAACTAAACCTAAGTTATGTGTGTTACACAGAAGTACGTATTTGCAAATATGTAATTTGGGAATCATTAATTCATGTGTCAATATAAAAAGTAAGTATTGAAAATGTTTATAAATAGAGTGACAGCTTGTGGAGCAGAAGGAGCCCTGGCCTTGGTTTTAGTGTGGAAACTGGTGTGGAAATCCTGTCACTGCCGCTGTTTTGCCATGTGACCAGGGGCAAGTTACTTAACCTTTCTGATTCTCATTTTACTTAATGGAAAGAGAAGAGGAATAATTCCTTTGCTGCCTGTTATATAGCATTATTGAAAGCATAAAATGAAGTCTTGGATATGAAGCTCTTTTTAATGGAAAAACCCTTCTTAAGTTATCCTGAGGCGTATTATTAACCAGACGAAACATTGTGATTCCTCTCTTCAATCTCTCCGTCCAGTTGAACATCATTTGGCCTCGAATATTCAGCGGAACCGTTTGGTCCAGCATGATCTCCAGGTGGCTAAGCAGCTTCAGGAGGAAGATCTGAAAGCTCAGGCTCAGCTCCAGAAGCGCTACAAAGACCTGTGAGGATTTGGAGGCGGGAGGGAGGCATGCTGGGACTGGTTTTCTCTGTGGAGCCAGCAACCAGGGCAGGGAAGAAGGCTGTGTGTCTGTCCCTCTCATGCCTGTCACTGTTAGATTACAAATCCTATAGTGGCTAGCCCACAGTTTTCTTTGGTCTGAAATTTTTGTTGTTGTTGGAATACTTCATAGGTTTGGGGACAAGTGGATTCTGGTATGACTCTCAGCACGTTTAACTGTTGGACTTTGAGCATTTCGATCCACCTCTCTGAGTCTGTATTCCTTCCCTATAGCACGTGGAAAATAATCTCTGTTCCCTTTGCCTCATAGGTTGGTTGGGGGATCCAGTGAAATACTGGATATCAAAGAACTTTATGAGTTGTATTGGATTCCTTTACTCTTGCGTGGTTGATGTTTGCTGCTCTTATTTTCCTTGAACCTCTTTTGCTTTTCAGGGAGAGGCAGGATCTTCTGGAAAGCTCTGAAATACACACTCAGTTCTCTTTATAACTTCAGCATCTGACAGACATTCTTTGCTCAGTCTCCTCCTGTAATAGTTCGGTAAATGGAAAGATCATATCCAAGGTCTCTTCCAGCACTGTTTTAAAAGCTCAGAGGGTGCATTTCTTATTTGAGAGTGACCCCTGTATCTAAATCTCTGTGTAATCCCCTATATCTAAATGGTGGATTTAACCACAAGGTATTGTTTTGAGGGGAAAGGGTAGAGGGAGAAGTAAAGGGCCCCCACAGTTTACTGTAGTTCGTGTTCAAATAAACAGGAAAGCCTATCATTTTTGCTGTCTTTGAGGAAGGGTTTGCCTTTCTGGTTTATTATTTGTAGAGAGAATTTTAGTCATCCTTTTGTTCAGCTTCCTTATTTTGTAAATAAACACTCTTACTGACTCTTGCTATACCTGTCACCATGAAAGGCATTGGAGACCACAGATAGGAACAAAATATAGCTGTTGCCTTTAAGAGCCTCCGAATAAAACTCTGAGGCTTTTGAAATCTACAGAGACTGGTGTAAGCCACAGAGAATTAAATAATACATTTAATGCCAATGAAGAAAGGAGAGACTGGGAAAACCATTCTAACACAGGTGATGTATTTAATCTGAGCCTTGATGGTTAAATTAGAAGTTCATAGTGCTAGCTGAAGGAAACCATTCTAGCCAGAGGGAGTAATAGGGAAGGGAAGAGGTTAAAGAACCTGGAATCTCATGGTAGCTACAGGATGTTCAGTATTGCTGGAGTGTAGTGTGTGATTAAGGGCATGGGTTAGGGCATGAGGCCAGAAAAGTAGTCAAAAACTGGACCAAAAGTTATGCTTTTAGGAATTTAGATTTTGTGGATGTTATAAACAACAGAGAACCATTGAAAGAGTTTTAGATTTTCATTTTGGGATCTACTCTGGGGGATGGGTAGATAAAGGATTGTGGGGGACAAGATTGAAGACAGCTTTAAAGTGGTCAAATTAAGAGATGACAAAGCTTGATTGGAGGGTAATGCTCATGGAATAAGAAGAGAGAGATTTGAGAGGTGTGGAGGTTTGGGGTCATAACCAGAGTTAAGATGAGAGCCAGAGGGGCGCCTGGGTGGCTCAACCCTCCAGCTCTTGATTTCATTTCAGGTAGGTCATGATCTCACAGGTTTGTAAATTCGAGCCCCACATCAGCCTTTGCACTGACAGTGTGGAGCCTGCTTGGGATTCTTTCTTTCCCCCCCTCTCTCTGTCCCTCCTCTGTTCTCTCTGTCTCTCTCAAAATAAATAAACAAAACAAAACACTCCCAGAAAACAAAACAAAAAGATAAGAGCCAGAGCTAGAGTATTCTAGAGTTCTAAATCATTGCCTTTTACATTATTCACAGTGCTTTGCTATCAAGGGCAGTTCTGAGGCTGGTGCAGAAGTTTAAGACCCTGAATTAGGGTAATGATAGTATAATGAGATTATTCAGAGATTATTGAGATAAAACTCTAAATATAAATGAGGATTCAGAGAGTAATGGATTATAGGTCTTAAATTAGAGGAGAGCCAGATATTCTATTTCTGCCTGGGACTTCAGGCTTTTGGAGGTACTCCTAGCTGAAATAAGTGGTTAGAAAGGAAGTTTTTCTGATTGTCACACGCTAGCAGTTTTGACAGTTGCACCTCACTGGCTGGATGAAATGCTGTGAATATTAATGAACTGGAAGCTCTTACTCACTCTGCATCCTGGGGCCCCCGTCCACTATCAGGCTTGCCCATTGTTGACTACCCCTTTCTCACGTGATTTTGCTTCCTCGGGATTTTGTGTAATTGTCTGCATGAACTCGATCTTGTCCTTCATGGAAATATGATTGGAAGTGATTATCCTCAGCTTAAACCTCACTTCTTTATTTTCTGTACTAGGGAGGACATCTGTGTCACTTGTAACCTTTAACATTTCATTTGGATTTGCCTTCTCTGCTGGGCTTCTTCTTTTTCCCATCTATTATTATCTTGCATGTAATTAATATTTGCTAACTCCTGTACAGATTTTACCTGAGTTTGAGAGATCCAACTAGAGAAGTCTTTGAAAACTAGGAACATGATTTTGTGTATGATTCTTAATTATTAGAAGTAAGTGAATGAAAAGAGGATATATAAATAAAAATTGTTTTGAGTAGATTTTGTTTCTTTTCAATTCTTTGGTTTGAGTGGTTAAGAGTTCTAAAATATTAGACCTATAAGATTAAGTCATTAAGTCCAAATACTTTTATAGCTGATAAATTGACAAGAGAGGGCATGGCTCACTGACTCTCAGTGGCAGGACCAGAAATCAGGTCTGCAGCTACCTTGTCCAGTGTTTTTCCTACTGATTCTAGGAGAGTCTTGCCATCCCTTACCTGTGCTCTCTTACTTCCTCTTCCTTCCTTTCTGTTTTGTATCGGCATAACACGTGCGTACATGGCTGCGTCTCTGTCCACCTGTACCTGCCTGTCTCCAAGCATGTTGGAAGTGACCGTTTCTGTATACAAATGAGGATAATTTCTGCCTCTCAGTTTTGTTGGAAGAGAGAGTATGGGCTTTAATTCCTTAATCACAGTTCAGATTATTGCCCTCCCCAACACTTTCCATTTTACAAAATGCTGTTTGATAAATGTGGAATAGCCAGCCAAGAATGAGATTCATTGAGAGTTTTAAGTTCACTCGGTAGAGAGAGAATGAGAGGGAGAATGAGAATGTTTGTTTAGCAAGAAAACTCCCTCTGTAAGTCACAACTGTAAATTCATTCCAACCTCTTCTTAAGTCGTAAACCCTAAGCATGTTTATGGTCATCCTTCCTAGCTAACAGTTGTGTGTAAAGTTTGGCTTTCCAGAGGTATCAGGTTCTGGAGTTTGAAGCTGCCTATTGACTTTTCTTGACCTGAATCTAGAAGACATGCACTTGTACCCATCTCTGAGATATCCAGTTCTTCTTTTTTGTTTGCATTGCTGTTTTAGAGGTGATCTATTTTGCCCACCAAAATCATCCTCTTGGTTCTTCTTCCAAAAAGGATTGTGAGCCTTGACTGCAAAGTGAAGATTTACTCATGTTTGTATCCTCAGTATCTGAGCATGGTGTCTGTACTATAGCAGGTGTTAAATTTAAGTCCCTGTTCAGTACATGAATGCCAAAACAAGGCAAACTATGGTAGCAGCAGTATTGCAGCATTTGTGTTTCTCAGGGATCTGAGTTTTAAGAAAACTGGCACCAGCCAGAGAGGTGTCTACTGGGAACTGAAGCTGCACGGTATTTTAAGTATTAGTGAAACTGAAAAACACATCTAATTTAAACTCTTATAAAAATCATTTTAAAGTCATACCATCACTTCTAGGAGACCAGAGTGACATCTAGTGATTTGTATATTTGTGGACATTAATCTGATAGTTTACGTTTCCTTTGCAAGATCTTGAGAAAGCATGCCTGTCTGTGGAGTGGCCCCAGTATGGTGAGGTGATAAGAGAATTTAGAAAAGGCCTGGGACTTTCCATTGTAGTGTCTGGGGATCAGATTCTGGTTCTGCCACTTGTGTTCTCTGTGCTCTTAGGGAAATGCTGTCACTACTCTGGACCCCAGCTTTTTTATCTGTAACGTGTGACAATATCCACCTCTTTGCATCATTATTGTGAGGATTAAGTGAGATAAAGATTTGCACGGGTTCATAGTATTCAGTAAATTGTATTTTTAAGAAAATTTATTTATTATTTATTCATACTACTTTCACCTTTGTTTTTTAGTGAACAACAAGACTGTGAAATTGCTCAGGAAATCCAGGAGAAGCTGGCTATTGAGGCCGAGAGACGACGCATTCAGGAGAAGAAAGATGAGGTACAACTAAGATAATGCCCCTCCACCCCAGCCCTGAGGAAGGGCTGCCTTCTGTATTCATGGACTCAATGCAGGGTTGCCGGATGGGCAGCAGAACTCTCCTCTTTGGTGGTGCACAGTCCAAGTGTTGCCCTCCATGGACCACTGTTTATTGCCCCTCGATAACCTAAGTGAACTCTTCTTAAAGATGATGCTAATTCAACGTAAGAGGTGAATTAGTTTCCTTGGGCTGCTTTAACAATCACCACAGACTTGATGTGGTTAAAACAGCAGAAATAGAGTCTCTCACAGTTCTGGAGGCCAGGAATCCAAAATCAAGGTTTTGGTGGGTCCCTGCTGCCTATTGGGAAAGATGCTTCTTTGCCTCTCCCTAGCTACTGCTGGCTCCTGACAATCATTGGCATTTCTTAGAGTGTCACTGGATCACTTCAGTCTCTGCCTCTGTGGTCGGATGGCCTTCTTCCCGTGTCTTTGTGTCCTCTTGTTTTCTTAAAAGGAAACCAGTCATTGGATTGGGGACCCACCCTCATCTAGTATGATTTTCTCTTAACTAATTACATCTGTAAAGACCCTATTTTTGAATAAGGTCATATTCTGAGGTTCTTAGTAGAAATTACTTTTTGGGGGGCACTATTCAAACCATACAGGGTGTTTGTTTGTGGGTTATTCATGCAGTCTTGAGAGAGGGAGAGCAGACCTGTGTGTGGTCTGAACACAAGTCAGGGCGTGTCAATCGTGAGAGGCCAGGGGCCACCAGTGCTCTCACTCCTTGCTGTTCATGGCTTCACTCTCCTGTGATGCGCTGCCTCAAGGAACTAATCAGTTTAATTCTGTATATATTTTTAAATTGTATTGTTTTTAAAGTTGAAAATGACTACAAGTAGCAGCAGTGTTTTTTGGTAAGGAGACTTGAATTTGCATTTAACTATTTCCTTTGTTTTACACTTTTAGCCTTTCTTACAAACAATTCCTTTTCAGCATGTATTGATTCTTTTCTTCTTTCAAACCAGCTGTGCTGTTCTTGGCCACAGACTGAAGAAAATGATTTAGAGTTTTAATAGGAGGATGGCCATATGATTTATTGTATGTATACTCACATATTCTTCTAGGTTCAAGGGGGGCTATTAATAATTACATAAGCTGGGCCTGCCTTGGGTAAACCAGCACACGGAATCACCCTGTTAAATAGATGGGATGAGGACCATCAGTCAAGCAGCCTGCATATACTGCTGCTCCCACTGAGCCATCCTTGTCCCTCTAAGACTCCTTGTTCAGTGCCAGGTGAGCGGGAGACATCTGCTATGTGTGTATTTAGCTGTTTCTTTAAGAAACAAACCATGATCATGTGATAATCAGAACTGCAAGTAAGCATTAGGATTTGCTTTTTATCCTTCCTGTTATCAACACAGGAACTCTTTCTTCCTGCAGGATGTGTTACTCTGTGTAGTCAAGACAGCTTTGGGGATGAAATTGGGAACTGAAAGAAGTGATTATATTTTCTGAACAGGAAAGCTTCTATTTTAAAAAATAACAGAGTGATGAAGTTGGCTTCTTATAAATGCTACTGGTGTCCTGTGATTCCCCCACCCCCCCATTCAAGAAAAACAGGATAGAAAGAGAAACCAAAGCACTTTATTTAGGCGTGTAGAATCTAAACAGCAATCACAATAAATAGTCTCGTGGTAATACTGTATAAAGTAAGCAGTGTAGTGATTGACTCTGTTCTTCAGATGAAGAAATTAAGACTTGAGGAAGTCAGTGACTGGTCTCCAGCTATAATAAGATGACCGAGAAATATCTGTACAGTTCAGGTTCCCTGACTGACTGCTTCTGACACGGATGTCCTGTGACACAACAGAAAACATGGAGATTTTCGAGTTAGGCTGCTCTGAGTTTGAATCTTAGCTCTTTAATGTCTAGCTGTGGCTTTCAGCATTTTACTTACCCAGGTAGAACCTTAGGTTCCGAAATGGAGAAGTCATGATAATTGCACATACACTAGAGGGCTGTTGTGAGGTTTAATGCCTTTGGTGCATATTAACTTAGCTTCTTACATACTAAGTCAATTTCTTTTCTTTTTGCTTTCTTGCCTAGTGTTTCCCCACCATTCTGCCCCTTATAACAGCTCTGATTTCTATACAGAAAGAGATGTGTGCTAAATTAGAAACGGGGAAAAATAAACAGGCTCAAGTATATTCCAGTCTGGTGTGATTTGAGCCAAGAGTTTTCTTGCTTTTACACATCTCCCAGCTACCTTGCCCTCCTCTGTTGTTTGACCTACAGAAATGGTCCCATTCCCCAGTGCTGTCAGAGACTGAATGAGAAGTGCAGCTGTGGAGATTTAGTGAGACTAGCCTTAAAAGCTCATTCAGACTCTTTGACTTTTCAGCTGATGCTTTAGATCAGAATATGCCTACCGTGTGGAGATGTTTTCTTATCTGAAGATAGGGCTCTCAGCTGACTGGTATGGTATTAATATTAAATGCACAAAATTTGCATTAGTAAAGTTTGTCATTGAAGAATGTATGATAATACATATTTGTTTATTTTAGTCCACGGTGCCTCACAGAGGACACTGAGATGAGATAATAGTGGGAATTTTTCTGGCCAACTTTTGAAAAAAACATCATTGCCTGTTACTCGTGAACTGACCTAATTCTTTTTTTTTTTTTTTTTTTTTTTTTTTTTTTTTTTTTTTTTTTTTTTTTTCCTTCTCTTCTCTCTGTGCTCTTCTATTTTCTTATGGAGTCTGCTTAGCTAGTATGTTCTTATTGGACAGCAGGGCTGTGGAAAATTCCTCTCTGGATTTTCACCCAAATCTCTTTTAAGAGATTTTTGGGGTCAGTTCTTTGGTTGTTTCTAACTCCCCAAACAACCAGATATAGAATCCAAGGCCTCTTTCCTATTGGGACAGAGTATTTTTCCTGAACAACATTGTACATGAAGAGTAGAGTTACACAACTCTGTGTGGGTTAATTAGCATTTCTGACTTTGTTATGGTATAATTTTATTGTGCTTTTTAACAGAGCACAGATGTAAGGAAAGTAGCATTTCCATTCAGGGAGACAGATGTAGAAAAGTTAAACCAACAACAACAAAAAGTTTACAGAAGGAGAGAGATAGTCTTACCAGCATTGTAGCTTTCCCCTTCCTCCTCTCCCCAGTCCTCTTCCCTCCCTTCCTCTTTCTCTTTCTCTTTTTTCTTTTATTCTTCTGTCCTCCCTCCTCCTTCCCTCCCTTCATTCCTTTCTTCCTTTTTTAAAAAAAACTTGTTTTACATAGTGTGACTATAGTAGTTGTATTTCTCTCTAAGCCTCTGTTGAAGAAAGGGTTGTAGCCTTTGGGAATACTGGACTGTGTGAGTTTGTAAGTAATTAAAGTGGACTAATTCCATTGGGATCATTTTCTTTAGTCATAGCATAAACATTTGTCAGTGTTATTTAATAAGGCTAAGGATTGTGTGTTTAGTTGGTTTAACTTATTTTTAAATGAAATTCTTAAGCGTGTGTGTATGTGTATGTGTGTGAATATCTATAGGTATATGTGTGTCTCTGAACCTAGGTCCAAATATATGTGAATGTGCAACTATTTTAGGGCAAACCTTTTTTTTTTTTTTTTTTTTTTTTGCTTAAGTAAACATTAGCATGACCATTTTATGAAAAGTCTGTGGTACTAATCCAGCAGTTTGAAGCCATTTATAATATGAACTGTTCAGGGATAAACTTAGTAACCAGTTTACATTAAAAATTAATTTAGTGTGAAAGTGATTAGAATTTCATGTTCTAAAAAAGTATTTATATAAGTTGGTAATATTTAGAGCATAGCTCAAATAGCAGTACATTTTAGCTACTAAAAAAATTTCCTATGTTTTGGCACTTTAAAAATAAGATTATACATGTATGGCCAGAAAGGGGGAGGGAGTGGAAGGTGCCTGGTTGAGAAAATTCTTCTTTCTTCTTATCTTAGTTATATTGATGTTTTTTGCATCCATAGAACTGGTATGTTGTTTTCTGGTCTTATACCCCTCTGGAGATGATATCTCTTGAGAGTTCCCTACTGAATTAGATTTAATTACTGGTTGATAAAGAAGTGTAGCAATCTAATGGAATGTCTTTCCTTCTTTTTTTTTTCCTTTCTGATAGTCATTTGACAGTCACATTTTTAGATTTCCTTGATTTTGTGCTGAAGATTTCCTCATTTTGAAATTTCCTCATTTCCCACCATTGAGGAATAGAAGTGGAAACTTTCAGGGAGAAGTAACCCTGATATAAAATCATATAAACCAAAAAAATAGCATAAGGAATTCAACACAATAGTTTAGTAATTTGTCATGTGCTTGGGGAAGATGTGCTAGGCTCCTTTGGGCCCCATTGCACCTGGTTTGTGATAATGCCTCTCTTAGAGCACTCCCCTTTCAAAGGGTCTTGAATCGTGCTAATGGTTTTGCTTCTAAAACTTAATAGGTAAGGCTTTGAAGATATTGATCATATATCCTGTTTTTCTACAGAGGACTCTAGGAGAATGTTTGGTTCCTTGAAGGCAATCAGTAAATATATGTTTTTATTAAAATTACTTTTTTCTAGCATAGAGATCTTTAACTGTGTTCTGTCTTATGCTCATTGTTTCAAGTTTTCAAGAGGTGGGTGAGCTTGAATGACAGAAAAGGGAAAGATGAAATATAATGGTGAATTTTCATTCAAATGAATGTATTTACCAGAAGGTCTTCTAATTATGGAGGGGTTTTTTTTGTTTTTGTCTTTGTTTTTTGTTTTTTTTTTTTACACATTAACCCAAAGTAAGCCTACTTGATTAATATGATTAATTAAAAAATAATTGAAAATGACTTCAGAAGGGCTTATGAGTTCTTTTAGGTTTGTTTTCT